CTGCTCTGCCACTGGCCTGCTAATGTCAAACTAAAATGTGAGATCTTTATTCAGAAGCTAACAAACACATTTACCCGATTGCTTTATGCTACACAAAATCCACTCTAAAATAAAAGGCGTATATAATCAGACCAAAATACCACAATGTCACACACATTTCCATAATAGTTCTCCAATGTTTACTACCATGGTACACTTTCTCATAGCATAAACATTTTCACATAACAGTCAGAAAAAAAAAAAGATAAAAATATAAAAAAAAAAATAATAATAATTCCTGAGGATCAAGCAAAATGAACATAGCTGCATTTGTCATGTGCACTTTTGTATATACCTTTCCACATATTAACCTGCATACAATGCGAAACAAGAATTAGTGGACTGTTTGCTTCATTATAGTCTCAAGCCATAATCACAGCATTCAAATAAACGAACACAATATAAATGAGAACACTTTATGATGTAAGTTCATCCCTGATCTTATCGCACATAGCCACATTGTATAGCAACATTTAAAGCAAAATACAAGCTGTATACAGTGTCTGGCTTCATAAAACAATTTACGAAAGTGAAAATACACCACCTCAAAAAGGCAGTGAAATTATTCTTATAAAATCAACTGCATCAACACACTGAGATTCAAATCCATTTATTAACCAGGATAAATCATAATCATGGGGCTCTGAATGCAATGCATGGTTTAAGTCATAGTTCATGCATATACATTTCACATAATCATATTTATGACATTTTTGAATATGATCTACTGTCTTATGCATTTTGTTATATCCAACTTCTCCAGAATAACTTATGGGCACCAGATGAAAATCACATCAATATTACTCTTACTATCACAGTCAGCTGCCTTTCAGGATCAATATACATTTTTCAAAAAAGCGTAAATCCATCTGGAATTCCAATCAATCAAACTAATTTTAATCTTTGAAGTTGGGACTGTCCATACCCTTACAACCTCAGAAGCCACATTGAGAAAAAAAATTATATCCTAGCCTTACAGTCAATATCTAATACATACAGTACAAGAAGACACTGCTCTAATGACCAAACTATATATTTCCTAATCTGTATAACTTGTCTGGACTTCCATGGACAATGTAAGATGCATTTACCCTGTGATAAATTAAGCAAAGAGCAGGGGAATGTACACTGCCATACAAATGAAAAACTCTACTAGCATATATAAAAAAAATAATAATTTGGAAAAGTAACAGAACAGAAGTGAAACCTATTACAAAAGGCAGCACCCAATCCTTTATTTTCATAACTAATGCCCATCTGGCAAACACAGCATCTTGTGAAATCCTCCCAATTATTAATCAAGATACCTTTCTTCCTGTATGAACCATTATTCAGTTATTTATTTACTCATTGCACATTTCATCTATTCACTTATTCTAAAACACGTCCTCGCCAATTCCAATTGCGCAATATTTTTCAAGAATTTCTTTCCATGCATCTGAAAACTACATGTCCATCCAGAGGAAACCCAAATTCATTCTTAGCACAATAAAATAACTTTTCCCATGAGTGGAGATAATCCACATGAAAAAAAGGACTACATCTGAAAAAAAAAACAATACCTATTTTTGCTTCTCATAAGGTAGCCTGACAATTAAGCAATTCTCCAAGTAATCACAGTGAACACTTTTACAATTATAAAGTAATCTCATTGGTGCATCCCTGACCAGACTCATAAGTATGCAAAAGTCACTGCCAGGTGTGAACTTAGCTATAAACTTGAAGCAACAAAAAGAGAAAGAGGAGGAGGAGGAGGAAAAAGAAGAAAAAGAAGAAGAACAAGAACAAGAAAAAGAGGAGAACGAGGGAGGAGGAGGAGGAGGAGGGGGAGGAGAATGAGGGGGGAGGAGGAGGAGGAGGAGGAGGAGAATGAGGGAGGAGGAGGAGAATGAGGGAGGAGGAGGAGAATGAGGGAGGAGGAGGAGAATGGGGGAGGAGGAGGAGGAGGAGGAGAATGAGGGAGGAGGAGGAGGAGGAGGAGGTGGAGGAGGAGGAGGAGAATGAGGGAGGAGGAGGAGGAGGAGAATGAGGGAGGAGGAGGAGGAGGAGAATGAGGGAGGAGGAGGAGGAGGAGAATGAGGGAGGAGGAGGGGGAGGAGGAGGAGGAAGAGGAGGAGGAGGAGGAGAATGAGGGAGGAGGAGGAGGAGGAGGAGAATGAGGGAGGAGGAGGAGGAGGAGGAGGAGGAGGAGGAAGAGGAGGAGGAGGAGGAGGAGGAGGAGGAGGAGGAGGAGGAGGAGGAGGAGGAGGAGGAGGAGGAGGAGGAGGAGGAGGAAGAGGAGGAGGAGGAGGAGGAGGAGGAGGAGGAGGCGGAGGAGGAGGCGGAGGAGGAGGAGGAGGAGGAGGAGGAGGAGGAGGAGGAGGGAGGAGGCGGAGGAGGAGAAGAAAAAAAAGAAGAAAAAGAAGAAGAAGAAGAAGAAGAAGAAGAAGAAGAAGAAGAAGAAGAGGAGAGGAAGAGGAGAGGAAGGGGAAAGATAAAGAAGAAATAAGGGAAGGGTGGGGGGGGGGATGAAAAGAGAAGTAAAACAGCGAACCTAAAATAAAGTTATTTCAAACCCCCAACTATCAAACCAATCCTGTTTTACTCAGTCCTAAATGCTACTAAATCTCAATGCAAGAGCTATTTTGTTGAGAGAAAATAAACGGAAACTGTCTACTTCACCGAGAGAGTACCCACTAATCACTAGCCACTAGCGCAGTGAACAAAATGAATACATCTATCCCGTCCTGACCTGTAAAGCAAATTACATTGCAGCATTTGAATATAAAAAGTTAAGTTCTACTGAAGTTGTATGTGATTTAGTTCTATAATTTGTACATTTGGAAAATTTGTAAAATGAAAATAAAATATATAAAAGACACACCATTCATTAAATCAATATGTACTTCTACTGGACAAAATTCTCAATAATAATAAAATTCAATTTTGTATTGTAACAATGAGAAAGTCAAATTTTCACCATTCAATATTTAACATATAAGATAGATTTGTATATTTGTACAGCAAAGAACTGATTTCATTGTACACTTTGTACACAAACAGAAATCTCCAAAACATCAGTCAAAGATTCATAACATGACTAATGTTCAAAATCTGTCCTTAATAACATGTTTGAAAGTCAGCATAAACATTTTTGAAAGTAGATCTTGTCACAATTAATGTTATTGCTGATAACAATCATAGCCTCACTGCTATAACAAATATACAAACTATAAAATTCTTGCTGAATTGGCAACCTCAGTTACCAATAATATATGTCAAATTAGATTCTGAGAAAACTCAACGCATATATGATTAGCTGAACTTTGCAGAATAAAAACCTCAGCAATATAAATCAACATTCTCAACAACATGTTGTTCTTAGAGACTGTATAAAACACATATGAAATACAGTAAATATCTATTACAGCATAACCCTGGATTTACATCACCAGTAAAAGCCTTCAAAAGCTTATCAATACACAACAAGTTACAAGTTATGTATACACAAACATTAAATTGAGTTTGCATTACCAAGAGAATGCAATGCATGATTGCATGCTCTCCTCTGGTAACAACTTTTCCTACTAAGAAATAGTTGATCATTTATGCCAGGCATTTTTATGCCAAAACTTATACACACACAAACACACACATCCAAGGCTTAGACATTCTCTTACTTTGTAATATTTAAGAATTGAAGACAGGTTTGTGCTTATTCTGAAGAATTTTAAGTATAAACATGAGAGGAAAAAGGTAGTAAAGGCACATAAGAATCAAAATGTTAAAATTAAACTAATGGGAGATGATGCCTGGGACAAAATTGCTATTAAAAAATAGAAGAAAATAGTGAAAAACACAATGAAGAGTAAATAAGGAAATAAATGTAGGAAGACTATCTACATTCATATCAACAGAAATGATGAGGAAGAACAGGAAGGAAGAAACATTTACAATGTTTTCCAAGAGAAATCTTCTCATGCTCCTCAGTATATAAAAATTACAGTAACAAGACTATATAGTTGATGATACGAATTTTTAAAAACAATGCTTCCACGCATTATTATACTCATAAAAGGGTATTAATGAACACTGCCAATATGCAGATTAATCTAGTCTGCATAACTTGTATGCAAACTGTTTTGCTTTAATTTATATTCAACATTTTTAAAAGGAACCTCTTAATGCCCAATCTTTCTTTACACCTTTTGTCTATATAAAGTACAGAGTGTAGAAATTATAGAGCATGTAACTCATGTTGCTGTAAATTTTGATATATAAGAAAATGAAAATAGAACAAACCAATTTCCTAATACAGACATGTATTACCTGTTATAAAAAGGGTTTCCAAATACTGCTAGGTTCATTAAAAAAGGAAATCTGGGACATTTTTTGTTCTCTTGCCTGCCTCTTATTGCTATTCTCACCTTAGTATCAGAGAGAATATTACCTGCAATCTGATGGCTTATTTCCACTTTATAGTAACCCATGTCTGTCTATTTCCTATGGTCAATCTTTTATTTTCCACAAATATATATTTTTTTCATAAACCACTATACATTCAAACATTTCCAGGTTCAATATGTCTGACATTTTCACTTTTTATTTTCTAAATTCTTTTTTCTTCTTTCTTTCTTCTCACTGACACACATAATTCAGAACCAAGTTGCCTTGTCTATTAGTTTTTCTTTTTCAGTTTTCAATTGTCTTTTGGAAGATTTCTGTTATCACTCCAATGTGCCTCCACATCTTTTACATTATTGCACCAAATTTTTTTCCACAGGTGCGGGGGTGACTGCTACTGCTCTGTAAAGTCCCATCAGTGCCTCCAAGCCATGATGCAAAGTGAACTTATCTTAATGCAGGAAAACTGTCAATTCATATATAGCTATTAATTTAAAGTCTCTGTGGTTTTACTTCAAGACATGTAGATATGTTTCAACTGTCTTAAATCCTGAAGATAAGCTTAAAAAAGCAAAAAATAAAAACCCTTGTTAAAAAAGGCACTGTTTATCACAAAATAACTCCTATAATATAAAGAACTGCAATTCAGTAAAGCTGTAAAAAATAAAGAACAACATATCTTCAACTGGAATGATGCTTGGGCTTTAGATTTCTTTAAGTTGGCAAGTGAATTTGATTTTCACATCAATCAAATTCATATACCATCATCATCATCATCATCTTTAGTTCCTTTATGCCATAACATTCTTATACTTTACAGTTTACTAAAACACTCTTAGATCCTAATGGAGCTACTCAGCTTAAAATATTCCAAAATAAAGGACCAAGCAATATCATTATATACACACCCTCATATATATGCACCAACACACGTAAAATCACACGCAATCATAACATCGTGGCTTGGAGCACTTATGGCACTTCAGCAGAGTTCACGTAATGTTTCCTTCAACTAGAGCAGTCACTCCTCCGCACCCTCAGCCTCGTCTCAGAAACCAGGTTTGTCTATAATTGCTACACCGGCGTAGGATCTTCCAATACCCATATGGGCTGGCAAGAGGGTCCACGCATCAGTCTTTGGGTTATAAACTTCTACAGATGCCAGGTTAGACGTTCCATCATCCCCACCTACTACATACAGCAGGCCATTCAAAGCAATTACTCCTGAAAAAATATGAGGTGTTATTATTATCATAATTTTTTTTCCTAACAGATTATCAAATGAAATGTGTTGAAACCAAGATACCCTGGGGTATCATGGGCAATACTTAAGGGTTTTGCAAGACACCAAAAAGTCATATTAATCCTATGTACAGTCTCTCAAAAGCAGTTTAGTTTCTATTACACAAATTGTTTGTGCTGTATCCACCCACAGTTTTATAAATCTAGGTTTTTGTTAGTTTGTTTTATTTTGTTTGTTTCTTATTTTTGTATAAAATTCAAACCACTTTGAAGTAGAAATCAAATATTACCCTTTCATGACTTTGATTCTCAGGCATGACAACTTAATCTATCTTTATGAATTTTTGTTTGATTATCTACAGAGCTGTATAAAATGTAATCTAATAAATGGATAATTCACTGCAAAATGAGACAAAGACCATTTTTACATTACATAGAAAACTGCAACCACACATACCAGCATTCCTTCGGCAGAGATTCATGTCGGCAACTGGACTCCAACAATTGGTGTCGGGATTGTACACCTCCACACTTTTTCTGACCAATGGACCATCATGTCCACCCACAGCATACAGAAGCCCATCAAGAACTCCAACACCTGATGATTACCAAGGGAACACATGAAATTAGTGCTGTCGTTCTTATCTGACGTCAAAAGCGCACCTAATAACAATGTCAAGTTGAGATGCCAAATGCCTTCTTTGTGTCAATCATACATACCAGCTCCACTTCTGCGAGCTGACATTTCAGCTACTGAAGTCCAGACATCAGACTCGGGACAGTAACACTCTACTGACGCCAGGCATTGTCGCGATGCTCCATCATACCCACCAACCTTCCAGAATGATAAAAGACATCATTACCTATTTACATTCTTTTGATATTCTGAATAGATACTGATAAAAGCTTCTCCATTGAATTTGCTTTCTTTCATTATCATTGTAACACCAGAAGAAATTTATTTATGAAATTAGACTCAAGATTAGATATATTCTAAAGCTGGTTATATTATATATATTCTAAAGTTCTACTTCTTGCCATATACTGCAAGCAGCAGTATGTCCAGTTTCCTTAACTGTGTAGTTCTCAATTTGAAGACTAAGGTATTGATAATCTTTACTGATATATGGCAGTAGTACATCTACTCCCTTTCCTCCTTTTATTTTCTTTTTTTAGTGAAAAGTAAAGTGTCTTCCCTGCCATATGTAGGTGGCAATGAGAGCAGTCAGGATGCTGTTTTACAACTTTTTAAATCTTAAACCTTATATACATATTATGCTTCTCCAAAACTGTGCATTTCCATAAGCACAAAATAGTTGGCTGTAGTTTTTTTTTTTTATTATATTCATTCATCAGTTGTATTTTCATTAGCCTGTATTTATAACTAAAAATAAATGAAGAACAAAGGAAAAAAATGAATAAGAAAAGAGACACTTCCAGAAAATTTCAAAATACTCTTCCTTCTTCAGACATTATGAAGTATTTCTTTGAGTTTACCCTCTTGAAATTTCTCTTTGTCCCTCTGTATTTTCCATATCCGGACACTCCAACTCAGACTTTAACATTTTGGGAAAGTCGTCATCCATTACCAGATGTCAGTCTTGTATTTCACTAACTTTTATTAGAACAAAAACCATGTAACTGAAAAGAGCATGTTTATTAAGACTGACTTTTCTTCAGTTAGTGCATATCAGCAAAATATAATCTGGCTATAATTTTCAAGCCAAAACCACACCAAATAAAAAAAACAGAAACCTTTAATTTCCTTTCCATAAAATGTGTAATAAGCAAAATATGCAAACTATGGATCAGAAAGAAGAAAAAAAATCATTATGCTGACCGGTGTTTAGACTACAGATACATAATTCTTTTCCTTCAAATTTGTGTGTATGTAAAGGGCAAATAAAGTAGGATAAAATCATTCTAGAGAATATTCTAAGAATCAACCTGCTAACAAAATTCTTATAAATCAAACACATCAAGTTTCTAACACATGAACTCGACCACCATGAACATATCCTAATCTACTGTGGTTGCAACTGCATAGGAAACAGATTTTATTAGAGTACTCACAGCATAAAGAAAACCGCTGACAACACCAACACCAACAGATGAGCGACGTGTTGACATTGGGGCGATCATTCTCCACTCATAAGTTTTTGAATCATACATTTCTGCACTATTTAATCCAGTCGAACCATCAAAACCACCAACCTGCAAAAATATATCAACTTATACATATAAAATATAATATCTAAGTAAATGTATGGGTGTGTGTGCGCGTACGTGTGCGTGCCTGCATATTTAGTAATCTTCTGAAACACAGACATAAAACTGACTTGTGATTTTGTATAAAAACTATGTTAAAAAATAAAAACTTACAGCATATATGCATCCATTAAGTGTGGCAACTCCCAAGGTAGATCTACGTGCTTCCATGCTGGCACAGGATGACCAAGAATCCCGCGTTGGGTCATACACATCAACAGTCCGTACTCGGAGAGCACCATTGAATCCCCCAACAGCATACACTTTGCCATTGATAACAGCTATTCCACATCTGGGGAGAAAAGAAAATTTATACTATAAACAATATTCTGGAAAATTGCTTAAAATGTTTAAAGACTGAGAAATAAAGAGAGTTTTGCAACACAGACAAAGAGACAGCTATCCACAGTCCCAGCTATCCAGATATCTGCACAAATGCATAATCACACGCACATACATACATACACTCATACTCCATACACATACACTCATACACACACATTCATATTCATAATAATAACTTTCAAACTCACACTCACTCTAATATAAACCAGCTAATTTTACACAACTCATGATTGAGAATAGACTATAATCTGAAATGTAACAGACCAAGGCTGGCTGAAACAACCGTTCTTCTGTCAAACAGACTATCTTTTTGACAACCTAAGGTTTGCATTTTCATACATAAAACTGAAGTCATTTGAAGACCATGGAACAACTGTCTTTCCCTATCAAAGCCACCACTATTCCTTGTGGATTTCATTTTCAAATTGCATATAGTATATTTTAAATTTACTGAACAATTATATAAAAGCAAGATTATGTATCTATCACTCCATATATTTTACATAAATCTCTATCAGTCAATTCATCTGGTTTTACTCATCAACCGGTGCATTGTTCAACTGGATGAACTCAGCACTGCCAGATGCTTCATATGCCAAGCTGGACCACATGCCAGACACCATGTGCAGTCTGCTGTTCAAGGAATATATAAGAAGCATGGGAAATGTATAATTTCTCCACTCTACAAATCTGATTGCAGCAGTTATGATTTTCTATGAAACAAGGCTAAAAAGGAACTTTGGCCTCAAAGACTCCTCAGTGACTGCAGGCATGACCAAACAAGTGAACAATGTTTAGTGCACACACCTAAGAGCAGGCTTGATGTAAGTGGCATAGAGATACACACAACCCAAAAAGTTCATTCATGCTATTCCTATATGTACATGTCATCTGTCAGCAATGGGTTAATTCACATATACCCAATATAAACTTCACTAAATAATGACACATAACTGTATACCCATTAAGCACAAAATTTACAAAGATTTCTACATCCATACAACCATTTACAAGAGTCCATAAAACTCTTTACCTGCATCTTCTGGTGGGCATCTCTGCTACAGGAAACCATCGTTCATCTTTAAAATCATAACACTCCACACTGCGTATTGCCTTTGGTGCCTGGCCACCTACTACAAGCAGAACCTGTAGGCAACGGATTATTTTGATATAAAAATAGTGCAGCTGTAAAATTTAAAAAAAATTATGGCTAAAAAGTTCACTGGTAACAAAGGATATGCACACTATCATTCTAGTTTAAGACAACCAAAGTTACAGGAACACTATACAACTACTTGGAATACACTGTAGTTTTTTTGTCTTCTTTTTTTTATTTCTTGAATTTGGTGACATGCTCAATTATTGCATGGTTTAAATATGATAAAAATATATATATATAATGGAAAAACAAAAGGAGCTATTTCAATACTGATTAGGTATGCAATGAAGTTTGTTTGAAAGCAATTTCATTTGTAGCTTTTCTACAAATCTCTCCAATATGAGATTATTTGTGAAAACAATTTGAAGGCACATGGTCATTTAGCAGAGAGAAAATTTATACAAATAACTGCAAACACATATAATCTGCTGATGCAATAAGTTTAATTTTAAAATTTACAGAACATTAAAAAAAATATTTAACAAAGTAGTTTAAAGAAACCTTTTCTAGCACAGATCATTCCAAGTATTTTTTTTATTTTTTATTATTGAAGTTCTGAGTTATTTTTTGGGTAATTTGCATGGCAGTGATTCTCTCTTAAAAACATGTGATCCTGAATCACTGACTGAACAATGTTGCATTTGGAACTGTTCATCCAACTCAAACAGATGAGCAAACAATTCAGAAAAAATATCTGTAACTTAGTACAACTTCTTTCGATATGCAATCAACTCTTCAAATCCCCAATTCAGAGCAGGCTAAGTTTGACAAAACAGGTTTGTTTGTATAAAAAAAGATGCTTTATGTGAAAGTCGCATATAATTGTAATTAAACTAATATGTTCATATTTCATAAATCCCTCAAAATAAATAACATTTTTTGGCATGTAACTCTTAATGTGTGTATGTATGTGTCTGTAATTCCACATTAACATATAATGACATCAAGATTAGAGACCATGTCATCTGCCAATTACTTGCTGAGAGTTGTGGGAGATGAAGAACTTAGAGCTACAAATGAGAACAACTTGTCCATCCAAGTTAACAAGCTGTCTCCAAACTAGATGAGCAGGTCTGAGCGGGGGATTAGACATTCAGAAAATAAAAATAACAGTAAGAAATCGCAGAAAAACAACATATGATCTTACTTTTGGAAGTCCAACTGGTTGTCTGGGTTTTGTTCTAGGTGACTTGAACAGGGCCTTCTGTTCTCCTTTAAGTAGATGGTATTTCATGGCTTCTATTAAGTAATCTTTACCTGTAAATCAATGGCCTTTCATTAATAACTAGTTTTGTAAGTTCTGTAAACATTCTTACAGTTCAGAAGTAACATTCACATTAACATATGGTTACACATTTACAGAAATTGCTGTTTTCTCCTGTAATCAGGTTTTGCCAACTAACTTTGTAATGAGATTTCACATTAAAGCTTATAGCTCTATTCATATGAAAAACCTGAACTAAACTTAAAAAGAAGCCTTGTGTGAATTACAGTGTCAAAGGCCTCCCCCTAAAATATATATGTGTGCAGGTATTTGTAGGGGTGTCCATCAGTTTACAAGCTTGCATATATGTATATGTGAATGTGTATGTGCATGTGCTTGTTCATGCATACATACAAACAAGTGTGGTATACCATAACAGTATACTATGAATGGATATTGCATATTTAAGCATGTATGGTAAAAGGAGTGTGCCTGATAAATCCCTCAAATAAGAAAGAATTGGCATTCTCTAATACCATGCAAGGCTGACAGGTGGTGGATGGAGTTTCATGTGAGGAAACATTTAATTCTGGTTGGTTGCTTTAAAATGTGGACAGACACTACTTTCACCTAAGGATTATATTACAACAGCAAAATAAACTAGTAAATACCCCTGTTACTTTTTCGCATATTCATTTACTTTTTTTATATTTTCCTTTTACTCCCTCAGTTATCTAGATTTCAAGGATTCCTCACAATAAGTGTTTAGTGATACTAGAAAAAATCTTCAATGTTCATGTGTGAAAAAAAACAAATTACCAGATAAATCACATCAATACAGCCATTAATACCATTATAGTGAGTCTGCCTGTTTACCTTTCTTGCAATTTAACTTGGTCCTGCAGAATGGAGTGAGACACTGATTTGCATACTTTATGGGACTACTTCGAAATGATGATGATGATCTGGAGCTGACAGAGATGATGGATGATACAGTGACCAAGAGAATGGCATCTCACAAGGAAGCAAAGGAAGAAGGCCATGGAGGGCGGGCATCACTCTACCTCATCCCATCAACACCCCATACTAATGGGCCAAACCATCATCAAAGCATCATATTGAAGTGCCTCCTGAACTCATAACTAAAAAGTATATAATCAGCTTTCATTTCTCATGTTTTCATACAACTGCTATTTGAGTTCTCTGTCTTAAAGTTTCATATACTGCTTTTCCATGCATGCAACATTTTAAAAGCAATCACTTTTTTTTTATCATCACATTTCCCCCCTTATCTGACCCTTCTATGCAACAGATAATAATCGAGTAATACAACTCTGTGACAATCAAGTATCAGGGTTCATCAATATGCTTCTGTAGAGCTTTCATGAAATCCTGCAAAATGGTACCTTGGAACACCTTCTTTCAAGATAATATTACAATATCAACTACCATTCCAAACAGTAAAACTTCACACTAATATTAGCAAAGCTGTCTGCTTGCCATACCATCGATAAAATACCTCAAAGGCCAAATAGACAAAGTGTCCAAACTTACACTGAGTATCTTGCTTGAGCAATGGCTCCTCCTCCACACGCTGGATGAGATAGTCTTGTGACAGAAGAGGTAATCTTACATATTCCATCAGCTCTGCCAAATACTGCTCTCTATTGGGTAAGTCTCCGCCCACCCAACTCATGACACACTCAAAAACCTAGAGAACATCAAAAGAGAGGTGAAAATATTGTAGTCTACTACGCACAACTGATGCATATCTTGATAAAAAAGGCTACTGCTATGACTAGAAAGAAAACAAAAATTTTGAATTCTCCCATTCATGAAAAAAGCAACTTTCTTCTAGGACAAACATTATGATGATAATAACAATAGCAATTCAGGCTGATCAGGGAATCAGCTCTGTAAAGTAATATTGTTACTATTATTAAATAAGAGGCTGCACTTAACCAAACGCATTTTTAAGTGTCTAACTGGTAGATAAAAATAGTTAACCCATTCACGACGGGTTGTCACATATACGTGACTTGCCCACTGTGAGTTTACTTGCTTAATTGTTTTAAAACATAGATGGCTACACTTGTACTAAAACACCAATGAGCCAATTACGAGTACTGCCTGTCTCGCTCGTTTACCCTTTTTCTTTAATTTACGAAAATATTTTATGTTATCTTATTTTGCTATTACTATTGTTTATAACATTATAGTAATTATAATGTTTATAATAAAAATAACACCATCGACATCATAGCACTAGTAAAAAATACATTCTCCCGCCAATTCAAGGAAAGGTGAAATCAGGTAAGGCAGAGCCATCTATGTGTAGAGACATTTCACAAAAAATATAAAAAATAAGCACAGCATTTTCCCCATTTTTTTGTTCATTTTCCCCATCCCGAATGGGTTAAGTTTTTGATTCCCCCCCCTTTTTTAAATATCCATTTTATCCATTCATCACATGTCTACAATCTTTCATATAAGAACAGTGCAAGGCCCTTTCTGCATTACTACTAACTATATTGACATGACTACAATTGTGTTCTGTATGAATGCCTTCTGCAAGCAACTCTTTTTTTTTTTTTACAACACATTAAGCTCAGTGTATTGAGTTTACATGTAACAGATGATTACAAGTATCAAACTATGTAAAACATTTTTCTTGAAAAAAATGTGGAAAATACACCATACTTACCTTTTCCTCTGAGGGAGTTGTGAGTCTATCACTGGATATTAACTTTATGACTTGTTGTGAAGTTAAAGACAGGAACTCTTCACACTCAACAACTTCACTATGAAGAGATAAAAATATATTTAGCAGGGCATGTGAACTAAGCAATTAATTACTTTCTTTGGAAGTTTAAAGAATCTTCATTACATGTCAGATTACCAGATTAACTGATACCTCTCGCATTTTTTATTCTTAGAATGCTTACCAAAAATGCTGTTCTACATAGCTCTCTGCAATGGAAAGCAGCTCTAAACACCCATGCAGATCAGCAAATGCACGAATGCCAAGGCAATTTGTAGGGTGAAGCTGAGACTGAAGGAAGTCACAGCAAGCATCTCTGACGTCTGTTAGCTGCAACAAATTGGCTGCTGGGAGAAGTACCTGTAATAATAATAATAATAATAATAATAATAATAATAATAATAATAATAACAATAACAACAACAACAACAATAATAATAATAATAACAATAATAACAACAACAACAACAACAATAATAATAATAATAATAATAATAATAATAATAATAATAATTATAATAGAATAAATAAAAAATAGAATAGATAAATAATAATAATTTGTAGACTATTCCGTGTGCTTGAATACCATGAATAGCTATTCAGCTCTTGTTCGAGAAATAAACACAAAGATCCTCCACCCCTTAGTTACAAAGAATAAACTGCTCTATTATCTCAGTATATTATAAGGTATATTCCTCTAGTTTGACACTTAAAGAGACATTTTTACTGATCTGCATGTCCCTTGTATGAAATGTCTTCTTTTCATTTTTTTACTTTAACATTTAGAGCTGCAAGTCTAATTTTAACTGCTCTGTACATAAAGCTTATTTCTTGACTACATTGCATTAGCATCATGAAAAAAATGTGTGCATCTAACATTACTTGAAACAAGCAATATCTAACTTACAATTGATGCTGCAATACATTGTTTTTTTTTCTTTACTGATTTTGTGCACTGCATGAACTGCAATTGCATTTATGTAGCAAAACAAACAAGTATTTCCACCTAGTTATTATCAAAGCCAAACATTATTTTTACCAAATTATATGTATGGGTGAAGACAGCAAGACAGGCTACAATTTCTTAATGTAATTGTAAAAAATATAGATACCCATAACTCTTTCAACTACTGAGTATCCAGAGAAACCATATACTAATTTACTACGGCAAAACATGTAAATAACGACATATGCCATGACAGGACAGTCCTACTGCTTCCAACTATACAATCAGTTGCACTATGGAGAAACATTGCAACGTTTCTCTCCAATTACAGTGTTAATGCAGCCTACTGAACAACATTCAGGAAAACAGTATTTTGATAATCATGTCCATAATAATAGTGAAATCTAAACAAGAAAAAAAAAATAAATAAATAAATAAATAAAACAAACAAACAGATAAATCATCTCTGGCTTACCTGCACATTTTCCTCGGTAACAAGGACTTCAGCTGTATAAACATAATCAATAAGGAGCTGGAGTGCGCTGCCATCTATATCTTGTAATACTATTCTATCTTGCCGGCTCTCTTCGAAGCCTGAAGAAAATGCAGATTTGTCATAATATAGTGTGAAAACAGTTAATATATTCCTAAAATTAAATTTGCCTTTTAAGTTCAAGGTGTCATGATAGTAAAGAGAAAACAAGTTAAAAATGTAAATTTGTAACAAACTTAATATACATAACATTCTGTCTTAATTGTAAAGGTATGTTTCTCTAATTAACTCATTGGATCCTGGTGATGTGGATGTCTCAATACACAGAAAAGAGAACAATACAAAAAGATTTTAAAAATAACAAAATTACACAATTTTAATTGTTGTTACTCTTACTGCACTGAGTGTGAGCTATGTGGATAGATAATATGAATCATGAGACAGCATAACAAATGACAAATTTTGAACATGGGAAAAAGTTCAAAATGCAGAAACACTTCTGCAGAAAAAAAAAAGTACTGCAAAAAGGAGGCAAGGAGTTTAAACACCGCCTGTGAGTGATACTGTCAGCCAAACCTACAAGTCACACAGCTGGGAGATTCACTCCTCAAGGAAGCCTAAAATCCAGATTTTGTGTCGTGTTGAAAGCCACAAGACACCTGGATCCAATGGGTTAAATAAATCCATCATTCCAAGCTTTAGAATGCTAGTATAGATTATACTATAAGTTACTATAAAATGTGATGTACAATTTTTTAAATTGCATCTAGTTGTATCATTTGTATATGAAGGGGGCAGTATAAAAAAGAGGGCTACCTTCTACTAACTTTTTAAAAATGTAAGATCAATTATTGCATGTAAACAAAAATCTAACTCTATAACTCACTGGTAAACATGGCGTGAAAGTACGGACTGCATGATGCAAGCACCATTTTATGGGCTGGTACCTCTACACTGTCAGCTACCAGGACGACGTCACATAGCTGACTCTGCCTACAGTACAACAAACAATAAATACCCCTGTTGCAATGAACAGACAAACCAAAGAATCTTTATAATGATTACTGAAAATGATTAGGTATACCCTAACCTGTACAAATTCATGCTCACAAATTAAAATCAAACATTTGACTATTCACACATAAATCACAAGGCACGTCAGTAATTTGTCCTTTGTTCTTACCTTCTCATCAGATTCAGATTATCGAAAGCTCTCGGGAAATGTTGAGGATTTCTGTAGGGTAGCTTGTGTTTAGTCTCCGAGCGAGGGATGTGTTTCTGAGAACTTTCATCCAGCGAGTTTTGACTAGCATGGCGGAGTAAGAGCCTGCTGCTGCAATGTGGGAAACAAGAGCATTAGAGTCCGCAATCAATATTACTTACATCATCCACCAACATTATTACATACATCATCCACCAACATTATTAATATCTCCTTATATGACTGACCTACATCAATACCACCTCATACTATCCACCAACAATATCAATATCACCTCATATGATCCACCTAAAGGAAAACACATGAGCCAATGCCATGACCACCAACACTCCAGTAAAGAGCAAACAAAACCCCACATATTTTCTGGCAAACTAGTGCTTTGACAATAACTGGCCGAGGAAATCTGCAACTTTTATTTTACCAGATTATGCGTGATGGATGTTTGTTGATTGCTGTGCCAGTGGTAAGCACAGAGCCCATGGCACTGCTTGATGCACATATCAGTGGATTTAGAAGAGTGACTGTGTGCTTACCTTTACTTGCCACAGATTATTTTTTATGCATATTAGGATTGCTTTACAACCATGACTTTTTTCTTTTTTTCTCTCTTCACAGCCCTATTGTTATTAGGTTTAATTATCTAGCCAACATTAGTGAAGACATTTGTCAAAGATTGGTGACTTTTTATTGTATAATATACATGCAATCATTATTATTTCCAAGAAACCTGATAAGATGGCAGTCAATGATTTGTTTGGTAGTTTTTTTTTCCCTCCTGTTTTCTGGTTACTTACTGAGGCAACAAAGACTTTAACTACTCATTCTGCAGACTTTTGCACATTAGAATATCTCTTCTTGATAAGAATTAAATTCTTCATCACCAGCACACAATAATCAAAATCATACAGCCTGTCTTATGAGATTTACTTTTATTTTTTTCATTCATGGACCTTAAAATTAAATAAAGGGACAGATAGGTATATAGATAAATAGATATCTAGACAGATAGATAGGTAGGTAGGTAGGGAGGTAGATAAATAGCCAGAGAGATGGATACAAATATATATATAAGTACAAAATAACATACAAATCTCACTTCCACTTGGAATGTCATCTGTCAGATGAATACCATCCATTGACAATTAGTATACATACATCTAATGCCTATAAACTAAATCTGTGATAGGACCCTGCACACTAGATCAGGGAAAAAATCTGAATGCAGCAAGGAAATTGGTCTACATGAAATAACTTAGGCAAACAAAGAGGATAAAAAGACCAGAAAAAAACATGATACATTTGATCTTCCTGAAAGTGAGAGGAGGAGGCTTGTAGCTGGAGGATTCGTATCAATAAATTTGTTTTTAGTTGCCATTTTCATGCTTTTTCCTTTTCAAATCTGGGTGTCTAAATATCTTGCCTCAGGTTGGTAAGTCTACCCCGTCTAATGTTGATATAACACATTGTATAGAATATTATACATGGAATCATAATAATGATGATAAGAAATACAAATTCCATTTCTTATAAAGAAACTCTATGTCAATATTATCAAATAATGGTAAACTGATGCTATGATAATCAACCTGGATACTTGAATCTTTGGTTAAGTGGTTTGTCCAAGTTATACATAATGGCTCCTTTAAGCACCATTACCTAAATAATCATTCCGCAAACATGAGTGTAGAAACAGGGATAAATTTGTTTCCCGGCCTTCCAATGCTTCCCTCATGCAATCCCTTTGAGAGTGGATTAAGTAATCCTAGATCTAGAGGCATGTTTTACTGTACATTCTACCCAATTGTTTATAGTCACTTTCTGCATCTTGATTAAGGCTTATGGTGATTACCCTTTCGTCTAGCTTAACATCTATTTGGCAAAATCATATCTATACTACCTAGTGAGATTCAACTTACAAACTCATGATATAATATTAAGCAACTGTCATGCATGGAATAAATGCAGCAGGTATCATAACTATGATGTGACCTATATTGGCCTAGATCAAGTATACATATAAATGTGTATGTACTCTCTCTCTCTCTCTCTCACACACTCACTCACTCACTCTCCTTCCATACACACACATATGCACATGAACATGAATGCTAACATGCACATACAGACACACACACATATAATGATTAACTTTAGCATGGTTAGTTTTTCTTTTCTTTTTTTTTTCTTAAACAAATACCTTACTACATACAGCTCTTGTATTTTTGTTTATCCAGAATCCTGAAGGAAAGTCATCCTCATTGGTGTATCAGTCTTAACGCTACGCACTATGGCTGCAAATCATCCCTATTTCCTGTGCGAATGTGTGCACTAGTACGAAACATACTCCACGTCAAGAGTTGCCAGATGTGCAGAATTCATTTTAAAAATAGAACAATCTCACAGTTTGAGAATCGGTCAGATTACATAAATCTAATAAAAATTTAATCTGTCCTTTTATCTAACTTTCCTTGAATATCTGCACCATTCATTGGGAATTTTAATCATCATTTCTTCGTATTCTCCCACTCTGATTAGCACTGACACTGGTTGACATAATTCCTACTATCTTTGAAAAACATGAAATAAAATAAAATAAATAAGTATATAAACACAAAAAAAAAAAGTTGTTTTCTGTATATCATCTGTTTTCCTTTTGCAAAATACTTATCTAAAATATGAGAGGGAGTAATCATTGTTCAGAATAAGATCACATGAACGACACCAAAGAATCTATAGTTTGCGTTCCAATATACGGCAATGCGGTTCATCCACACACACGACAAGACACGGAGCATACTGTCATGACGTTATGCAAAAAGACAGAAAGTTGGCGAAATATAACTAACACCCGTTCCTCTTTTATGCCATGCGCACAATTTTTTTTTCCAATACTCACACAGTTTCAAAATTTTCAATTCTACCCAAAAGCATCAAAATTTGTTTAGTCGCAATCGGCCTTATAGCTTGGGATAGTTCCTTCCAAAATGTCAAATAACCATGAAGGGAAATAGCTCTTCCTTTCCAGAAAGTAAATGGCAGAAATTAGTTCACCAATCTCTGCCGAGTGCAAGGAGGAGACGGAGGTTGCAATGGCATTAGCCGTACAAGATTCGCAGACCTTTAAGCACAATCCTGATCTTAGCCTAGCATTCTGCAAATTATTTTCAACGAGGCAAACAGCATTCTTTCACATATTCCTCACGGTCACCACCTTATTTCGCAGACCTTTATGCACAATCCTGATCTTAGCCTAGCTTTCTGCAAATTATTTTCAACAAAGTAAACAGCATTCTTTCCTATGTTCCTCGCGGTCATCCCCTCATTTCTCCTCACACTCGCACAGCCCAAATCTGCACATCTACCGAACGGCCTAAAAGTATCCTTCGTATCAACACTGCGATACAATATCCAGACATCACAAAAGCTCAAAATCCAAAGCAATCGGAGACAACTCGCCGAATATCAGCGCTAAAAACACCACGTCTGTCTTTGTCCTTGGCCTAAAGACACCATGTCTGTCTTTGTCCTTGGCCTAAAGACACCACGTCTGTCTTTGTCCTTGACCTAAAGACACCATGTCTGTCTTTGTCCTTGACCTAAAGACACCACGTCTGTCTTTGTCCTTGGCCTAAAGACACCACGTCTGTCCTTGTCTTTGTCCTTGGCCGATCCCTAAGCTAGCCTAGGTGTCTTGGTCTTGGTTCGGGCGAAATAAAACTAATGCTAAATTCACGGTGAACGTCATTCGGCTAAAAAAACAAAACAAAAAAAAAAAAGCGACATGCAAATCAACACATCCCGAATGACCATCAAAAACAAAAAAACAAAACAAAAACAAAAACAATACACTACCTCTATCATCCTTATAAACAAACCCACAAAGGTAGCAAAAACAACCACAAAAACAAACAAACACACACACAAACAAACAAAAAACC